GAAGTTGGTCTCTGTCTTTCTCTCCCTTACCCTTGCCCGTATCTCCTCATCATCTTTGATAAGGATACCATTTTACTTTTAATTGCTTCTTTAAAAGCTCTGTCTCCAAATACAGGTGCATTCTAAGGTACTGAGGTTAAAACTGCAGCGTGCAGATTTTGTGAGGACACAGTTCAGTCCATAGCAAGCTCAGATATGCAAGAAGTGTGATCTTATTACTGTCCAAACCAAGACATTTTGAATGTTTTTGAAAGAAGGGCACTATTAATAATCTTTCCAGGACAAAATAAATATTAATTGGGATTTGTAGTCCCCTTGCTCACAGGATTGCTCTACGAATCAAAGAACACTTGGGCTGGAGTTGTAGTTCAGTGGTAGAGCATTTGCATGGTGTGTCTGAAGCCCTGGGTTCCATCTCTAGCACTGAAGGAAGGGGAAAAAAGAAATAGGAAAGGAGGGAGGAATGGAAGAAGGAAAGGAAATATCTTGACTGTACCACACCTAGCACAGTGCCTGACCAGTATGCACTCAGTAAGTGTTGGCTATATAAACTGAGCATGGTGACACATACTTGTAATCCCAGCACTGGGGAGGTAGAGGAAGGAGGATGAGAAATTCAAGGTCATCTTTGGTTACATAGCAAATTCAACCCTGCCTAAACCACCCCTCATCCCTCCAAAAGTTAACTACTATTTTAGCCCTTAGAACATTTTCAACTGCTTAGTCAGAAGATCATCCTCTTCTGTTGTGTGCATCAATGATTGGCTAGTTGGTTGGTTTTGAGATAGGACTTTTCTTTGCCATGTAGCCCAAGCTGGTCTCAAACTTGCCATGGTCCTGTGTCTTCCCTCCTGAATGCTGGCTGGGCAATAATTGGATATTTATATTCATCAGTAATTGGATATTTATTCACCTTCTTTAATTGACCCACTACTACTTCTCATTCAGTTATAGTTGATATAAAGTAAAAATAAAAATACTGTAGTTAAAAAATAAAAATACTATAAGGAGTGGTGTTGCATGCCTTTAACCCCAGCATTCAGGAGGCAGAGACAGGTGATTCTCTGTGAGTTCAAGGCTACCCTGGTCTAGATAGAAAATTCCAGGCCATCCAGGAAGGACTACATAGTGAGACCCTGTCTCAAAAAATAATAGTAATAATAGGGGCTGGAGAGATTGTTCAGGGTTTAAGAGTACTGACTGCTCTTGCGGAGGACCCAGGTTTGAATCCCAGCACCCACATGGCGGCTAAGAACTATCCGTAACTTCAGTTTCAGGAGTTCTGATGCCTTCTTTTGACTTCCAGGGGCACTGTACTACATGGGTGCACTTACATACATGCAGGCAGTACACTCATACACATAAACTAGAAATAGTAAATAAAATATTTTTAAATAATAATAAAAGGGGGCTAGAGAGATGGCTTAGCAGTTAAGAGCACTGACTGCTCTTATAGAGAATCTGATGTCCTTTTCTGGCCTCTGTAGGCATTGTATAGACATGGTACACTTATACATACATACATACATACATACATACATACATACATACATACATACAGGCAAAACACTCGTACAGATAAAAGATTTTAAAATCTTTTTTTTCAAATTATATAATGTACTCAGGCTGGAGAGATGACTTAGCAGTTAAGAAGCTCTTGCAGAGGACTCAGGTTCAGTTCCCAACACCCACATGGTGGCTAACAACTGTCCTTAACTCCAGTTCTGGGGGATCCTCTTCTGACCGCCAAGGACACTGCACATACAGGTGCACCTACCTACATGCAGGCAATACACTCATACACATAAAATAATAAATATTGGGACTGGAGAGATGGCTCAGCCATTAAGAGTACTGCTCTTATAGAGGACCCAGGTTCAGTTCCCAGCACCTCCATGGCAGCTAACAACCATCCTCAGTTCCAGGGGAGTTCAACACACTCTCTTCTGACCTCCAAGGGCTTTGTACAACACGGGTGCACTTATATATAAGATATGTACTTAGACATATAGATACTTATACATAAGATAATATACTTACACACACAAAAATAATTTTAGAATAATTTTTAAAGTATTTATTATTTTTATTTTATGTATATGAGTGTGTTACCTGCATGTATGTGAGTGCACCCGTGTCATGTAATGTCACGGAGGTCAGAAGACGGCTTCGGGTTCCCCTGGAGCTGGAGTTAAGGACGGTTCAGAGCCACCGTGTGGATTCTGGGAATCAAATCCGGGTCCTTTGCAAGAGCAGTCAGTGCTCTTAACCACTGAGCCATCTCTCCAGCTCCAGAAATAATTTTTAAAACTATATAATGTACTATGATTTAGATGGATTTGGATCTGTGATGGCAAATAGTTGTCTGTGAGGAAATTACTATAGCTCAAGTCTTTCTTTTGGTCTAGTTTTGGGGTTTGGGGGGGAGTTTTTTGGTGTTTTGTTTTTGTTTTGAGCCAGGATTTCACTGTATAACTCAAGCTAGTCTTGTGATCCAAACTTGGAAACTTCTTGCCTCAGCTGGAATTTTAGACATGTGCCACCATGCTCAACTCCTGTTGACCATTTATTTTTAAATTTAAGTATTTATTTACGTGTGTGTGTGTGTGTGTGTGTGTGTGTGTGTGATTTGTTTTATGGAGTGTGTGCCAGAGTGTACATGTTAAAGGACAACTTTGTGGAGTCTGTTCTCTCCTTTCCACCTTTATGTTATGTGGGTTCCAGGGAGAACTCAGGTCATCGGGCTTGTTTAACAAGTGTTTTACCTGCTGAGACAGCCCCTCTTGGTCATTTTAACATTTATTTCAGTAACCCAAACTTGCTCTTTGGTAAGCAAATAGCCAGAGTACAGTTTGAATGGTGTGTAAAGTAATAATGTTTTGGTGTGTTAACATCACTTTATGTTATATAGCAGTAATTAGATTATGATGGTGAGGCAGACCTGAGAAGAATGAGGGTAATGGTCTGTGAAGACAGGGCAGACTGTTCAAGGGCCAGGCGAGCAGTTTGATCCCTGTGGAGTTAATAAGTTACCAAGTAAGTTGTGATAAAGGCCCACAATTCAAAATAGTACAGGTGGCTCTGAAGACAAGGATCTTTTATTTATTTATTTTGTTTTTATTTTTTATTTATTTATTTTTTTTTGTCTTTTTGAGACAGGGTCTCCTTGTAGCCCCAGCTGTCCTGGAACTCACTATGTAGACCAGGCTGGCCTCAAACTCATAAAGATCCACCTGCCTCTGCCTCCTGAGTGCTGGAATTAAAGGCATGCGCCACCACACCCGGTGCAAATATATTATTTAAACAGCTGTGCAGTGTATTTAACTGTTACTAAATTCCAGTCACAATAGCCTGGGATCTGCTAAACCCAGGCCCTGAGATCTTATTTTGTAAACTGGAAGATATTACTCTTCCCAGCTTGATCTACTGTATAGAGGCTTCTACCTCATTTATACAGATTTCTGTGTTATATAGTAGTGACCCTCTATTGATCAGACAAGGCTTGGTTTTAGCAAGGTTGTTGGAAGTTTATGAGAAGCTCAAAGTCCCAATGAGAGTGATCCTTCTTCCATAGCACCTTGTTATACTGCCTAAGTCATCATCTCTGCAGCAACTCTTGTCAACTGGAATATTTAGAAAATGCACCACTACAGCAGGTTTTAAGTTAATCACAATTTAGCCCAGATAGCCAGGGAAAAAGTTTGTGTTTAGATTGGTTGTTTGATTTGGTATGGATTTTGGGGTTTTTGTAGGGGTTTGTGGGGGGCGGTTTGGGGGGGGTTCTTTTTGAGACAGGATCTCCCTGTAGCCCCAGTTGGCCTTGAACTCACAGAGATCTGCCTGCCTCTGCCTCCCCATTGCTGGAATTAAAGGTGTGTACTATCACATCCAGTTCCACCCAGTTCCACAGGGTTTGTCTCAGAACCTGGAGCTCAATCAGTTGGGCTAGGTTGACTGAATGATGAGTTCCATGAATTTGCCTGGTTCTATGCCCCACCTCACACCCATCCCAACACTGGAGTTACAGATGTAGGCCACCATACCTGGCTTCCAAACATGGCTTCTAGGAATCTGAACTCGGGTCCTTGTGCTTGCACAGCAGGATCTTCGCCAGCTAAGCCATCTTGCCAGCACCTTTGAGCAGTAGTCTTTATCAGTGTGACCTAGTTCACATTTATCCAACACCTCAATAACAAAACATGTTCTTATTTAACATGCATAAAATATTTACTAATATTGAATGTATTGAAAGACATGCATGAAACAAGTTGCAATATGTAACATTTGTGATCTGTAATCTCTATTGTCTCAGGCCACCATACAGAATACCAACCATATAGACTAGGTGGTATAGGTATGTACCTTCTCAGAGTTCTAGAGGCTGGAACTCCAAGATCAAATCTGGCATGGGTAGTTGTTTGCAAAGTAATTGGGTCAGTTATTGTCAGCACCAACATGTATAAGTTTCATAATTCTGTGTTCTTGCCAGGTCTGAAATATTATGACTTTTTTATTATGGACATTCTCTACTCTAGTGCAAATGCTCATCAGATAGATGATTTGCAGGTATTTTTCTTGCATCATGCGGGTGGTCTTTTCTGTTGTGTGTTTCGTTTTTTTTTTTAATTGTGTCCTTTGAACCACAGCCAATTCTAGTTGTTTGTTGTTGTATTTAGACTCAGCACATCCTTTCTGAAGCAGCTGAATGGCATGTAAAAATCTCAATTTGCACTCAATATTTCTCCTTCTGGGTTATTAGCACAAGAAAGGGCATGGGGTACATCTGGAAGCTTGAACCACATTTGAACTCTTAAACTGACACAGTGGAAGAAATGTAGATTATTTTTTAGATGTGACAACAAAAACTATTTTTCATAGTTCCAACGAGATCTTCCTTTCTCTCCTAATATCTTCGAATTTTAAAATTCTGTTTCATGACTGACTTTGATGATTTCTTTCTTAAGAGAACTAAAACTTACCTATTCAATTTTTCCCCACAGGTCTCTTAATATGGACTTTGAAAATCAAGATAAAGAGAAAGACAGTAGCAGTCCTTCTGGGTCTTTCAATGGCAACAGCACCAATAATAGTAAGGCATTTGTGTCAGTTAACTTGGCTCCATGTAGTTTCTGAAACTTGTTCTATACCTCCAGTTAATCATTTACTGGGATTCGTTTTGGTATAGCAATAAAACCTAGTCTGTGCTATGATCTGTCAAATTTTTTATGTTCCAAATCTGAATTTATGGATTGCTCATATACAAGAAACTTGTGCTAAAAGCTTACTTCTGAAATTGTTTCTTTTTTTCTTTTCTTTCTTTCTTTCTTTTTTTTTTTTAATTTAACTTTCTTTCTTTCTTTCTTTCTCTCTCTCTCTTTCTTTTCTCTCTCTCTTTCCTTTCTGAGACGGGTCTCCCTGTAGCCCCAGCTGTCCTGGAACTCACTATGTAGACCAGGTTTGCCTTGAATTCACAGAGATCTGCCTGCCTCTGCCTCATAAGTGCTGGGACTATAGGTGTGTGCCACCATGCCTGGCCTGAAATTGTTTCTTAAAACTGGGGTAGATTAGTATCTACCTGCTTATGACTTCATTTAGTTTTGTTTTTGGTTTTTATTTGGAAGGGGGGATTCTTTTAGTTTGGCTTTTTTGAGACAGGATCTCAAGGTGTAGCCCTGGCTGGCCTGGAACATGATACATAGACCAGGCTGGCCTTGAACTCCCAAAGATCTACCTGCCTCCGCCTCCTGTGTGCTAGCATTAAAAGTATGCACCACCATGCCCAGCTTCATGTAGATACTTTGATGAGGCTGGTAATTTTGTATTGATCATAGTTTGATTCAGTGACTGTTAAGAGAGGGCTGCTCTAAGTACTCACAAAAGGAGGCTTTAGGAGTGTCACTCCTGATATTTAAGATCTTAGAAGAGTATCTGTTCTTTGAAAGAAATGTGTCTATAAACAAAATACAGTTTTTTCATACAGTAGTTTATTATTTCACATGTAAAATGAAGTAATGGGATTCAGCAGTTAAGAGTACTAGCTGCTCTTCCAGAGGACCCAAGTTTAGTTCCCAGTACCTACATGGCAACTAACAACCATCCTTAACTCCAGTCCCAGGGGATGTAGGTAAAACATTCATATAAATAAATTTTTTTAAAAAAATGAAATGCTGGGGGCTTTGCCATGCAGGCATGAGGGCCTGAGTTCCAATCCCAAGAACCCTTGTGATAAACTGGCACGGTAATATATCTGTAATCTCAGCACTGGGAAGGCAGAAACAAGAGGATCTCTAGAGCTTGCTGACCAGTGAGGCTTGTAGAATCCGTGAACAGGAGTTCAGTGAGAAACCCTGTCTGAGAAAATAAGTGTAGAACAATAAAGACACCCAGCATCAACTTCTGACCTCCTCACATACATGCACACAAAATGCTGTAGTGTAGTTGAAGCTAGGTGTATTATGCTACAGAGGGATGCTTTTGGAAGTTCTCGTCAAGAAATTCCAATGGACTCTCATATGAACATTTGAAATTTGCCCTGCTCTTTTTTCTAGTTCCTTGTCTAGAACTTGTAATGCTAATCTTTACTTCTTCACATTTCCTATTCACCAGTCAAGGATTTTCTTTTCCCCTTACAGATTCCCCCTACAGATAAGAGTTATGCAATTTGGGAGTCTTTTAGATAGATCCTCTGAAGGGGTACCCCAATTGCCTCACCCTGCATCCCTATTCAGCATGGAAGAAGCCAGAGTGGTCTGCACCCCGATTTCCTATCCGCAAGTTGGGTAACCTCTTCAGAGGATGGTGTGATAAGAATAGGAGGTAGGAATTGGCTAGGCAGTTAGTGTAAAAAGACCCCAAAGAAAAGTAGTCAATTTCTTGGCTAAAAATCAAAACATCAATTCCCAGCACCTACACGGCAGCTACAAACTGTCCTTAACTCCAGTTCCAGGGGACTCAAGCCCTCTTCTGACCTCCGTGGCATTGCACAACACAGGTGCACTCAGATACATGCAGGCAGTACACTCGTATACATAAAATAAAAATAATAAATAAATATTTTTTTAAAAAAAAAAAGAATAGGAGGTAGGAATTGGCTAGGCAGTTAGTGTAAAAAGACCCCAAAGAAAAGTAGTCAATTTCTTGGCTAAAAATCAAAACATCCTTGGGCCTCTTAGCAACATACTCCATTCCAAAGGCCAAAAGTGTTGAAAGTATTTGGGAGCTCTTATCTAATCCTTAAAAGATTTTAGGGTTACCTCTTCAGAGGGAGGAATGTTAGAGTAGCAAAAAGAAAAAAAAGAGTACATGAAGTTATCAGAAAAAAATGATGGGGAGATATGGGAGGAGTTGGAGGGGAGGGAGTGGTCATGGATTTGATCAAAACACCTTATATGCTTATATGCCTGTATGAAATTCTCAATAAATTATTATTTTTTAAGTATTATGCTAAGGAAGGAAGCCAAGCACTACCTATTATAGAGTCCATATATGTGAAATGCCAAACAAAGTATATCAAGACCAAAAGTGGGTTACTGGTTGCCTGGACCTAGAGGTGAGTAGAAGGATGACTGTGTACTCAGGGATCCTACTGGGGTGATAGAATGTTTAAAAACAAAAAACAAAAAAAAAACTTCCAGTTATGATCAGCCATGGTGGCACACACCTTTAATCCCAGTACTCAGGAGACAGAGGCAGATCTCTCTGGGTTCAAGGCCAACCTTTTCTACATATCGAGTTCCAGGCCAGCTGGGGTTACAGGGAGACCCTGTCTCAAAAAAGACCCCCCCCCAAAAAAAAATTGAACTATGCTGATTTTTATAGTTCATGAGTTTACGAAAAGAAAATACTGAGTTTTATACCTAAAGTGGGTAAATTTTTATGGCATATGAATTCTATCTCAATAGTTTATTTGTAGAGAAAATATATGATGTATTTTTATAGAAAGAATTAAGTCAGAAATAAAGAAACGTAGGGGCCAGGGATAGAGCTCAGCAGTATAGCACTTGATTGCATGTGTGAGGCCCTGGGCTTGATAATACGAACAAAAAGATGCTGAGAACCTGCCTGTTTGCTCAGTATTTTAAGAATATTTTTTCCCCATTGCTCAATATTTTTTAAGAATATTTACATATTTTAAAAATACAGGGGCTGGAGAGATGGCTGAGAAGTTAAGAACACTGGCTGTTCTTGCAGAAGACCTGAGTTCAAATCCTAGCACCCACATGGCAGCTAACAACTGTCTGTAACTCCAGTTCCAGGGTATCGAACAGTCTCTTCTGTCCTCTGAAGGCATTGCACAACACAGGTGCACTTGCCTACATGCAGGCAATACGCATATGCACATAAAATAAAAGTAATAAATTAAAAAAAAATTGTTTTGGTCTTTTTGAGACAGGGTCTACCTGTAGCCCCAGCTGTCCTGGAACTCACTATGTAGACCAGGCTGGCCTTGAACTCACAGAGATCCGCCTGCCTCTGCTTCCCGAGTGCTGGGATTAAAGGTGTGCGCCACTAAGCCCGGTTTATAAATAAAATATTTTTTAAAAAAAGAATATAAATATACAAGAGCAGTTCCCTCCATGGTGTTTAAGAAGTGCTAAGAGTTTGAGACCTAGCAACCCCCCAGAATAATGCCAGAGATAAAAACAGAACAAAGAAAGCCAGGTGAGCAACAGTGGGCTTTTCTCGGGAGAATAATGAGCTTGAGTTGAAGCAGGGACCATGGGTGGGTGGAGCAGTCCTCCTTCCAGACAAAAGGAGAAAGTGAGTGTGATCCTTAGGACTGCTTAAGTCACCACCCAGGGAGTGAGGAATTCTGCAGACTAATGAAAAGTCAGGTATTGGAAAACCATGGATGTTAGTTGAAAAGAGATCACTTAATATCCATTTCCACACTCTTATTACTAGAATATTCTGTCAACCAAATTGTACTTGCCCAGTTTTTATTCCAGTCAATGATTTCATTGTCCCTAACAGTGCAAAGTGAGCATAGTAAAGACAGGTAAAATTATTTAAATATAATGAATCTTTCCATAAAGTGTCGACAAAATTTTGTGTAAGAAATAAAATTCCTTTTTTGGTCTTTTTGAGACAGGGTCTCCTTGTAACCTCAGCTGGCCTCTGAAATTGCTTTGTAGACCAGGCTGGCCTTGATCTCATAGAGGTCCACCTGCCTCTGCCTCACAAGTGCTGTGAAGTATAATTCTATACCAGTAATGACTAGGAATTAGGTTAAACCCAGGGTAAAATCTGACTTTCAGATTAAATTATTGCATAGCAGGATAGCTTCTGTCAGCACTTAAAGCCAAATCACTTAGACTCTTGTAACCTATTCATAAGTCCTGTCTTATGCAACATATATGCAGATGACATACTTAGGAGAAGAATGTAGTGTATGTGTAAGTGCTGTGTAGTGTGTATGTGAGTGTAATCTCATTCTGAGCATACAATGGAAAGACAGTACATTAGTTTTTATTTCTTGTTATTTATTGGTCCAGAGAGAGTCATACACCTGTTTTTAAATGGTCATTTTCTTAAATCTACCTCCTTTTTTGTGCTAAATTATAAATTAGAGACAACTTGTGTTTCTTTGTATCTGCACTGAGCCACAGATGCCCAAAGGGACAGGACAGATTAGGGTGGAATGCCATTCTCTTCATGTAATCAGGAGAACACTGACAGAGAAATGGCCACAGCAAAGAAGGCCAAGTTGAAAGGATAATGTGCACAACAGGTAACATTCAAGAATCCAAGAACCAGGGCTGGAGAGATGGCTCAGCAGTTAAGAACACTGGTTGTTCTTGCAGAAGACCTGAGTTCAAATCCCAGCACCCACATAGCAGCTAACAACTGTTTGTAACTCCAGTTCCAGGGGATCCGACAGCCTCTTCTGACCTCCGTGGGCATTGCATGACACCAGTGCACTTACCCTACATGCAGGCAATACACGCATACACATAAAATAAAAACAAATAATTTTTTTTAAAAAATGAAGCACAGGAGGTCATGTGGGTGCCAAAGAGATTGAAGTCCTAACCGACCAGCAGCAGTGCACAAGAACTGAGGGAAGGTTCTGTGAAGAGGAAGGTGAAATTTAGTGCAAAGGAAAATGTGACCAGATGGGGGTTCTGTAAAAGACTGCAGTTGCGTATTTCCAAAATACTCATTCAAGGAATTTAGGGTCGGGGGTAAGATTAGGGGACATGTAGGTAAAAGCCACCGTCCTGGGTGGAGACTCAGAATAGGGTTTGCAGACTGCACGCTTTGACTGTTGGGAATTACTGAACTGTCCCTGATTATAAAAAAGAACCTAGAAGTGTGTTAAGTGACAATAGGGTTAGAATGTGTCTCACACTAAAACATCAAAACTTACCAATTGGAAGTTGTCACTTTATAATTTCCTATGAGGTTCCTGGTATATAACCTACCAAAGAATTATCACTTCAGGTTATGGTAGTGCCCCCACATGTCAGCAGAGGGGGAGTAGAGCAGCCCTTCTAGAAAGTACAGCACTTGGCTCATTAGAAATCAGGAAAATGAGGAGCTAGAGAGATGGCTTGGTGGTTAAGAGCACTTGCTCTAGAAGATGACTGGTTCGTTCGGTCCCAGCACCCATATCAGGCAGCTAACAGCTACCCGTGATTCCAGTTCCAGGGATCAACACCATCTGTATTCCCCGGGCGCCTGTATACACATGGTGCACATGAACTCACATAAGCACACACAGGTACACATACATGAAATAATGATGGTAGTAACAATAAAGAAACCTGGAAAATGAAACCCAGACCCTATTAAAATAGCACTTTGCACCTACCAGAATAGCTTGTTAAAAACTTGAGCTTGGATGTAGACCAAGAAAGAATCCTCTTGTGCTACTTGAAAGAGTGTATGTGGACACAGTCACTTTGGAAACAGTTTAGCGTTATCTACTGAAGTTGATAATGGGGTGGGCAGGACAGAGAGATGGTGGATGGACCAAAATTTCTAGATTCCAGAGGCAGCCTTTTATGCCACTTAGCTGGTTGTTCTCTCTCAGAAGAGTGTACTTTGGCTTTTCCTTTTGTATGTACTAAAAAATAAACCTAGGACTATTTTCTCTCAATGCCCAGACATGAATTCTCCCCTAGAACACAAGGACTGTCACAGCTGCCATGCTTGGGATCAGAGAATTCTCAAATAAGGATCACCCTATAACACAAAGATAAGCCATAATCTCCGCATTTGAGTGACTAAAGTAGGAAGACTGCAAATTTGAGGCCAGCCTGAGCTAACAAAGTGAGACTGTCTCCAAAAAAACAGTGCAAAGTAGAATTATTTGTAATAGCCAAAAATTGAGAAGTAACCTAAATATCCACCTTAGAGTAGACAGATATTAACATATTTCATACAGTGAAACCAAGTCCATATAACAGCATGGGTGATTGTTATAAAATAGTGTCAAGTGAAAGAAGCCAGACACAAAAAGTACCTGCTACATAACTCTATGTATGTAAAATTCAAAAAGCAGGCAAAATAAACATTAGCATTTTCAGCATGCCAGCTTTGGTGGAAAAGTGAAAGCTTGTGCTGTAATTCCAGCACTTGGATATGTGAGGGAATGAGTTCAAGGCCATCCTGGGCTTACATAGCAGGACCCTGTCTTTTTAACAACAAAACCAAAAAGCAAACAAAAAGGAAATCGTGTTCTTTGTGATGACATTAGGTTAAGTGAATCAAGCCAGGCACTTTTTTTGGTCTTTTTGAGACAGGGTCTCCCTGTAGCCCCAGCTGGCCTGGAACTCACAGGGATCTGCCTGCCTCTGCTTCCCGAGTGCTGGGATTAAAGGCGTGCGCCACCACACCCAGCTTGGGGACCCTGTCTTTTAAAAACAGTACACATATACATACATAAAACAGTTGTAACAAAAGTTGTAAAAGTGGAGAGTTTCCTTCCAGATCCTCTCTGCCCCCCCGCCCCAGTCTTGTTCTAACTCCTGATGCATGTAAAGATTACACACCTGGGCACACATATAATCAGTCCTTCATTTAATTAGTATAAAATTAAGATAAAGAAAAAAAAAACCACATAATTCCCCATTGCCTGACATCATGAAGTCTATTAACTTCAGTATAATTTTCTTGAACTATGAAGATTGATGGCTATACAGTTGGAATCCTCTTTATTAGCGAAGAATGCACATTTTAACCTCTCCACTTAGGCTATAAAATCCATAAGTGCTAGAATGACTTTCTTTTAATCCCTCCTGTTGCTTAATCTATAATAGGTATTTGGTAAATATTTAGTCAAAAGTTACAAAGTCAGTAATGTAGCAGTTGTCAGTAACACCCTGGTGTTACTCAGTTTCTGTTCCATAACAGGATGTATATTTTACCTGTGGCTATGTTCACTGAATAGCAGAAATGATCTCGTGAGCTGGGCATGGCAGCTCACTTGAGAGGTAGGGGCAGGAGGGTGAGGAGTTCAGAATCCCAGAAAATTGGAGGCCAGCCTGAGCTACATAAGACCCTTTCTCAAAAAAGATTTGGGGTCTGGAGAGATGCAGAGGTTAAGAGCACTGACAGCTCTTCCAGAGGACCTAGGTTTGGATCCCAGCACATACATGGTAGCTAACAACTGTCTGAACTCCAGGGGATCCAGTGCCCTTGTCTGGCTTCCATGGGCATTGCATGACATGGGTACACTTACATGCGTGTAGGCAAAACACTCATAAAATAAAAAGGTAGAAACAATAATGATGTAATTTTTAATTCTATCTTCTTGCCTTTTTCTTAGGTTGATTTGGCTTTTTTTTTTTTTTCCCCTGGAAACAGGGTCACCCTCTAGCCCCAGCTGACTTGGAACTTACTATATAGATAGACCAGGGCTGGCTTTAGTCTCACAAAGAGCTCCCTCTGCCTCCCCAAATTAAAGGCGTGCAGCACCATGCCTGCAATTTTAGCTTTAAAGATAATGCAGTTGGATGTGTGTAAGTCTTCACATTGTGGTTGCTCTGTTTATCCTTGCTCTGTTTTGTTTTTAAATCATTGGAGTTTAGCTAAAAATTGCTAATTAGTTAGCCCCTTCCTCTGTAGGACTCTTATCACTAATGTTCTTAGGATGTGTGGGACTGCAGCTGTATACATTGCTTTAGGTAGCACACTGCCAGAAACTGAAAAACTTCACTTGCCTTGTCATCTTGTCTCCTGGTTTAAAAGTGGTGATTTCAGAAAAGAAAATCTGTCCTGTTTATTATTCCCAAATGGCTCTTTCTGTTCAGTTTTGTTTTAGTTAAACACATTAAGCTAAAATTTAGGTTTATTATAAGCACATCTTACATAGGCTAGTTCTTTGTTCTGACCGCCATCTAGTTTTTCTATTCATATTTTGGTTTGGGAGGACAGACTCTAATTAGACCAAGATGACCTTACAGTCACTCTGTAGCCAAGGATAACCTTGATTTGATCCTCCTGCATCCACTTATGTGTTGATATTCCAGGAGTGCACCATGCTCTCCGCTGAGCTAACTCCTGCTGTGTTTTACAGAAGCCAGCAGGGTATGGGCATGTTTAAGGATGGTTGAGTAAAAATAAAAGATTCCTGCTGGGTGTGGTGGCTCACACCTTTAATCCCAGCACTTGGGAGGCAGAGGCAGAGGCAGGCAGATCTCTGTGAGTTCGAGGCCAGCCTGGTCTCCGTGGTGAATCCAGGACAGCCAGGGCTACAGGGAGACCCTGTCTCAAAAAGACCAAAAAAATTTCACCTCTCATAGGCTCACAGGTAGAATGAATTGTGTGCTTGCCACGTACAGAGGCAGTGCTTTGATAGGCTGTGACTTCAAGTTAAGATCTAAGAAAACTCCAGCTGTGAAAGCAACCCAAGTAGGTTCTGAAATGTCTGACCTCATCTGTTAGGTTCCATGCCTGGAGAAGCTAATCCACCTCATCCTGTCATAATTTATAATTTATGCAATAAATTATGAACCTGGAACAATAGTGCATGCAAGTGGTGCCTGTTTACTAGTATGTGGTTGATATATCCTGTTTTCCATCTTCCAGGTATCCAAACGATTGACTCCACCCAAGCTCTGTTCCTTCCCATTGGAGCATCCGTCTCTCTTCTAGTAATGTTCTTCTTCTTTGACTCAGTTCAAGTAGTTTTCACAATATGTACAGCAGGTAATGAGCTTCTCTGTCTGTTCTTAGCATACTAAAAGAAAAAAAAATCACATTTGAACAAATCATTGTTCAAAAATTCTGATTTTTATACCATGCAACTCATAAACCATGAATCTTCATAAATCTGTTCCAAATCTGAAGGAGAGGCAGGGATTTGAAAACTCATGTGCTTGAATGACATCATGTGGCTGTGGCTGTTTTACTGGCAGTAACCCAGAGGTCCAGTTAGGCACAGTGGCCTCTCAACAGCCTCTGCCATTGTCCCTGCAGATAACAACATTGACAGCCAATCCAGGTCATTTAACTGTCAGCTTTCTGTTGTCTTTTCAAGCTGAACAATGATGGAAATATAGAAAAAAATTAAACTCTAGAAAACCTGTTTAGGGATCATCTGCTACCCTGATTTATCTTTTCTTACTTTGTTAAGAGAGAATGAGAAAAATCTACCCATGTCTGAAATCAGGTTTTTGGTTTTTTTTGTTTTTTGTTTTTTGTTTTAATTAAAAAAAAAATTGAGTCTGGGTATTGTGGTACACACCTTTAATTCCAGTACCCGGGAGCCAGAGACAGGTGGTTCTCTGTGAAATTGAGGCCATCGTGGTTTATATATTGAGTTCCAAGCCCGCTGTGGCTACAGGGAGACCCTATCTCAAAAAGAGGGAAAAAAAATTGGTTATCTGTACAGTAGTAAAGAAAGGCTTCTCTGGCTGGGCATGGAGCTCAGTGGCAGAGAGCATGCATGAGGCCTGGGTTCCATCGCTAACACCACCAAATGGGGAAAAAGATTATCTAGGTAATTTTTCCATTTCTCAAGAAAAATATGTTGAGAAATTATTTTCCATGAATCATGCCGTTTTTCTTATAATTGGTTAAAAAAAAACAATTAAAAGTTAAACATATTTTCTTTCCCTAGTTCTTGCAACAATAGCTTTTGCTTTTCTTCTTCTCCCGATGTGCCAGTATTTAACAAGACCCTGTTCGCCTCAGAACAAGTAAGTACTTGGGAGTTTCCTCTTAAGTGGTTTTGTGCGTTTGCCTCATACATTATTAGAAGCCAGAGTTCCCGGTTTGGACTGCAATACACAAATACTGGCGATTGGTAAATGAGATGTTTGACCTCACTGCTTTTAAAACTAGAACATAGTAACCCCTTTTGCACCTTTTCATGGGAGAGGAAATGGAAACAAATCTTAGGAAGTCGGAATCATTGCAATCTGCTTCCTGCTGAGATTATAGAAGTTTTGTTTTGATTCATGTTTTCACTCCTGCGCTGGGGAGTCGTGGAGTATGGGAATAGTTGTTGAATTCAGATGCTCTTTGCCTTTCTTCTCTGGTGACCTACATACACAGCCATTTTGGTTCAGTGCCATCATTCACACGTTAACTGCTGAAGCCATTGCTCCATAGAAACAGTGTCGTGCTAACAGAAATGGCACATGGGAACCAGTCGCTTGTGGCAGTTGATTTTCTGGAAATTAGTGATAACCAAATAGATTTTTCTGTCTTACAAATATTTATGTCCTCTGCTAAAAGAATTGAATTAGTGCCTTTCTTCATTTTATTTCCCTCTTAAGATTTCCCTTATACTTAAGCTTCACAATAGACTGGTTTTGTCATATTAAACTTTTTTTTTTGGTCTTTTTGAGACAGAGTCTCCCTGTAGCCCCAGCTCTCTTGGAACTCACTGTGTAGACCAGGCTGGCCTTGAACTCACAGAGATCCGCCTGCATATTAAACTTTTAAATACCCATGTTGCTAATTTGGTTTAAAAAATAACATTATTAAGCCAGCAAGAGGTAGTTCATGGGGTAAAAAATGCTTGTCAAGCAAGCCTGGTGACCTTGAGTTTTTGGTCCTTGGAACTCATGGTGGGAGGAGAGAACCGTTCTACTCCAGAAAGTTGTCCCCTGATCTCCACCACTTCCATCATCGATGCACAGGTGCATGCGCGCTCACACACAACAGTAAATGAAATTTAAAGATTTTAAATGTGCCAGGTGTGGTAGCACACACCTTTAATCCAAGCACTCTGGAGGCAGAGGCAGACAGATCTCTGAGATCAAGGTTTGCCTGGTCTCTGGAAAGTTCCAAAACAGCTGTGGCTACAGAGAGACCCTGTCTCAAAAAGACCAAAAAAAAAATAAATTTTTTTTTAGGTTTATTAGCAAAAGGGAGCTGAAATACAATCCTGAGTTTTTCATACCTTACTCCAGAGAGGCCTGGATCTCTTAGCTTTCCAGGTATTCAGGTCTTCCCTACCATTTTGGTCCAGCCATTGTGAACTCTAATGATGAAGAGACAAAGAAGCCTTTGGTTATAGAATGCATGTACCCCTCAGTCCAATAAATGTGTGTTTTCCAGGATTTCCTTTGGTTGCTGTGGGCGTTTCACTGCTGCTGAGTTACTGTCCTTCTCTCTGTCTGTCATGCTCGTCCTCATCTGGGTTCTCACTGGCCATTGGCTTCTTATGGATGGTGAGTAATACATGACAGATTGTGATTTTACTTAATACACTTTTTGTTTTTTGTGACAGTGTCTCTCTGTAGACCCAGCTGGCCTGGAACTTGCTATGTAGACCAGGTTGGGCTCAGTCTCACAGACATCCGCCTGCCTCTGCCTCTGAAGTGCTGGGATTATATCTTTTATAGATTATAGGATAAACTTTGGGTTGTGACCCCATATGAATGTTCAAGTTGCAAAAAATAAAAATTGACAAGTGTAAAAGGTTACTGAACATGCAGTGACCAAAAATTAAATCAAAAATCAAACATGTAGTATATCCAAGATGTTTCTGCAGGACTCAACCATGCTGTATTGCATTCCTTCACCAAAGCCTTAATCACTCAAGCCTTGATGTCTATACAAACTTCGGAATACTTCTGCTCAGAATCAAGACTGTTGTGTATGATAAATTGTGGTGTTTTTATTCTGCATACAAAATTTTCTGCTCTTACAGAATCAGTGTTTTAAAAATAGAAAACAAAAACTTTCGATGTTTTCCTACTATCATTTCTCAACATGTAAATATCAAATTAGTATAGCTTTGGATTTTATTATAAAAAGATTTTATTTTAGCCAGGCGTGGTGGCACACACTTTTAGTCCCAGCACTCGGAAAGCAGAGGCAGGTGGATCTCTGTGAGTTCAAGGCCAGCCTGGTCTACATAGTAAGTTCCAGGACAGCTGGGGCTACAGGGAGACCCTGCCTCAAAAAGACAAAAAAAAAGATTTTATTTTAAAAGTTACTGTTTGAGCTACTGGATCAATTTTCATTTAAAAAAAAAAAATCATTGAATAAATTTTGGCTTAGGATTAAGACAGAATTTCCAACAACTTCTAAAATGGTCCTAAGCACACTTCTGGCGTTTTCTATTAACATATTTACGGGAAGCAGCATTCTCAAAAGTGACGGTTATAAAATCAAGATATCAGTCAACTCTGAAAAATATGGAAAATGTCTTTGTCATAGACAGTATCATGTTTAGACAAAATTTATTTATGTAAAAATTACAGTCTCCTTAGTATGCAAATTTGCTTTTATCTCTAATAAATAACATATATACCAAAGAATTATTTTAAAATAAGTTTCTTTATGATATCATTGAATGTTTGATTTGTATATCAATTTTATATATCTTAATACCCAGGATCACATAAAAATTTCTTGGGCAGAAAGAGGCTGCCAATGAAAAAAGGTTAAGCCTTGTTGTAAATAACTCAGTTCATGCACAGCTATATGACCCAGTGCAATGAGTTGTAGAACATTTCTGTCCTTCTCTCCCTAAAACTTTGTCCAGCAGCAGTCAGTCCATTCTCCCCTCCCTATGGCCCCAGGTGTCTACCTACCATTCAGCTTGCTAGGCCACATCTGACTTCTTCCACTTAGAATGTTTTCAAAACTCAGCCATGCCCTAACCTCTATCACTAACTAGTTCTTTTGGAATACTATTCTGTTACCAGTTTTATTTATTCACCAATTATTTCCCTCATTTTTGCCTATAATACAACTTTTATGTAGATGCTTTCTTAGATAAATGGAATTACATCATAATATATAGTATAAGTGTTACACGGTGAATACATAAGAGAAAATCCTCTTGCTGGAGCACTGGCTAGGACCTGAGTTCAAGTCTCTGTACCCACAGCAGGTGTCTCACTGCCTGTATCTCCAGCTCCAAGGGATCTTCTATCTTCTTCTGGCCTCCTCAGGCACCTACACACATGTGGCATACATTCACAAAAACACATAAACAAAACTCTTGGAAACAAAAAACCCACATAATACTGCCATTATGAAAGGATATGTGGCATTTTATGCTCATGTAGAGTAGATGAGATTTCCCTTCATTGATAATGATGAGATCATGACGATGCTAGCTGAAACTTACTGGGTGTGGGCCTGGGCCATTGAGATGCCTCCGTAAGTAAAGGCCCTTGCCACCAAGCCCAGCGACCTTCATCTGATCTTGGGGACCCACATGGTGAAAGAGGAGAGCCACCTCTCACATCTGATTACATACATGTGCACACATTTAAAAAATGTGATAAATTATAAAAACATTACACATACATAAAACTTCCAAACTATGTCTTAGGATCTGCTCTGCACATTTAAGATCAAATAAGAATGTTTCCAGGGGCTGAAGAGATGGCTCAGTGGTTAAAAACACTGGTTGTTCCTGCAGAAGACCTGGGTTCGAATCCCAGAACCCACATGGAAGCTAACAACTGTCCATAACTCCAGTTCCAGGGGATCCGACAGCCTCTTCTGTCCTCCTCGGGCATTGCATGACAAGAGTGCACTTACATACATGCAGGGGAATACACATATACACATAAAATAAAAATAAGAAATTTAGCTGGGCATGGTGGCGCACGCCTTTAATCCCAGCACTCGGGAGGCAGAAGCAGGCAGATCTCTGAATTTAAGGCCAGCCTGGTCTACATAGTGAGTTCCAGGACAGCTGGGGCTACAGGGAGACCCTGTCTCAAAAAGGCCAATAATAATAGTAATAATAATAATAATAATAAATTTTAAAAAAAGAATGTTTCCTTGCTAAAGGGCTAATTTTTCTTCAGAGATAACTTTTGACAAATACAAGGATTTGAAATTTGCCACCTAAACCAGTTGATGAGTAAAAAGCAGTACACAGCTGAATGAGGAAACAAGCTAGAGATGGGTCACAGGAGTGCTAGATCTCAATGACATGTCGGTCAATGAAAGGTGGTGTCTGTGGTAAAAGCACTTTTGCCTGCATGTGTGTAAGTACACCCATGTTGTGCAGTGCCCGAGGAGATCAGAAGATGATGTTGGATCCCCTAGAACTGGAGTTACAGACGGTTGTTAGCCACCATGTGGGTACTGGGAACCAAACCTGGGTCTTCTGCAAGAGCAGTCAAAGCTTGTAACCTCCGAGCCATCTCTCTAGCCCCCAGCACTTTTAAATTACATGAGTACACAGCATACTTAGTGTTCTTACTATAAAGAAGCAGCACAGGGACTTGGTTGCTCTCTAGAGAAGGGATGAGGATGGATTTATTAGGCTCACTAAACAGGGGTGGCATAAACACTTCTCACTAGCACATGCCAAAGGATCTGTTCCACTGTAGCAGGCTCTTTGTCTTAGACTGTAACGTGGATAGAAAATTGGCTGGTGACCATTATCATGAGTACATTTCTATTGTGAAATTCACCTAATAATTAAAATTCTTCCCTGGGTGTTCAGTGAGGCTCCCCTACACCCTTGTGGCCCTAACTATTGGCTTCTGCTGCATTCTCAACCATTTTTGCAGTTCCCCTATTTACTTAGAGGAGAAGATGCTGCAGCAGTCCAGACAGGTGCGAGAAACTAGCAGTTTCGGTCTGTATAACTAAAAAGGAGGGAGGGTGCTGAGATGAGAACCCAATTTACAGAATAGATGAGTTGGGCTAGAGTAAATTTGCAAAGCCTGCTGTACATCTAGGTAAATATGTCAGTTAGACCATGGGATGTGTGAATTGAGGTTCAGGTTGGAAGTAAAAATACATAAATTAGGCTGGGCATGGTGGCACACGCCTTTAATCCCAGCACTTGGGAGGCAGAGGCAGACGAATCTCTGTGAGTTCAAGGCCAGCTGGGGCTACAGGGAGACCCTGTCTCAAAAAAAAGACCCCCCCCCAAAAAATATATATATAGGTTGACACAATACAGGACTTGGATGGGATCACCAAAGAAGTGAGCAGAGAAAAGAGCAAAGATCTGAGAGGAAATGAGGAAGAAGCACAGTGAAGCCTGAAGAGTAGGAGGCAGTGAGGTGGAAGGGATGGGGTTGGGAGTGCACTGCCCTGAAAGCAAGTGGTAGAGGAGCCATGGGCTTATCCCAGTGCTGCATGTGGGTAGGATCAGGGTTAGATTCTGCCTTAGACAGACAGCATGTAAAAGACATTCCGTGGTCTATTCCAGAAGTTTGTTTAATTGAGATGAAAATTCATTGAAATGGAAGTTAGAGCTTTCACCTCATCTCTTAAATGCATGTGGTTCTCCCTGTCTGATGTCCTCCACCATGTTATAGCAGAACAGAAAAGGTCCTTTCCAGATGCCAGCATGCCCTTGGACTTCTTATTTTTGTTTGCCTGATGTTTCTCGTAGCTTTTTAAAAGTGTGTGTGTGTCTGTGTCTGTGTGCGTGCGCGTGTGCCCGCAGGTGCATGGACTTCTGATTTTTGTTTAGCTGATTTTTTTTTTAGCTTTTTAAAAGTGTGTGTGTGTGTGTGTGTGTGTGTGTGTGTGTGTGCGTGCGTGCGCACGCGCATGTCCCCGCAAGTGCATACACGCCATAGCATGCACGTGCAGGTCAGAGGACAACTCTTGGAAGTTAGTTCTTTACCTTCCACTGTGGGTTCTGAGGGTCATACTCAAATTTTCAGGCCTGTGTGGCAAGCACTTTTATTCACTAAACCTAACCCTATTTTGTTAGTTTTTTTTTTTAAGTTTCATACATGTATTCAATGTATTACCATCATATTCACTTCCTGTTTCACCCTTCCAACTCTCCCTGACCCACCCCCACATTTCCTCCCTCCTTCCCTCAACTTCATGTCCCTTTTGAAAATTTTTGGACAAGATCTCACTATGTAGTCTAGGCTGTCCTTGAATGCACCATCCTCTTGCTTCAGCCTCTTGAGTGCTGAGGTTGTACACCTGCACCATCATTCCCAGCAATAAATTTTCTTAATAAAAACTTTAATGCATAAAAAATTCTGAGCAGATGTTTAACAGTAATCTCTGGATAGTGAAACTTTTAGTTGTATTCACTAGTTTTCTATAATATATTTAATTGCTTTTGCAATATAAGAATAAAAAAGAAAGGTAGTAAGCCATCTTACATCCACTTTTTGAGCTAAGGTCTTGCTATGTAGTTCAGGCTAGCCTCAAACTCAAGTTCCTTCTGCCTCAGTCTCCCCAGTACTGGGATTACAGGTGTGTACTACCATATCCTGACTATCCACAGCTCTTAATAGCCGAACAGTTTAACCTTTTTCCACTCAAGATCACTATTTGCCCAAGAAATTTTTATGCAATTCTGAGTACATAGATATGTATGATAGGCATACAAATCAACCATTTATTGTTAACAAATTAAGAAATGTATTTTAAAATCTTTGACCAGGTGTGGTGGTGCATGCTTTTAATCCGAGCACTCAGGAGGCAGAGACAGGCAGATCTCTGTGAGATGGAGGCCAGCCTGGTCTGCATAGCAAGTTCTTGGCCAGCTGGGGCTCAGGGAGACTTTGTCTCAAAAAAGACCAAAAAAACTCCTTGATGTACGGATTTAGTAAAGAGAAGCAAATTTGCATACTAATGAGATGGGTGTGCTTGTTTACTTTTACCTAAACAATTAAATCTTGGCTGCATATTTGGTACTACAAGACATGTATAGTGTCTTCAGTACTTTTCAGTGGATTATTGTCTTGATTTTATAACTGTCAGTGCCAAAAATATCATCTCATACATACATATGGTACACAGTGGCAGAAGGATGAGAGAACCATTTCAGAAGTCATTGGTATTCTGTCCTAATCCCAGGTCAAAATTCGCTTAACAATTTCTTTATGAATCTCAAGTCAGCTGCTACAGTCATTTTAAAAATCAAACTTCTTCCCTGGTCCAGTCCAACGCCATACAAATATATGTATTTTCATACTCAAGAATGGTGGTAGGAAAATGTTTAAAGTCTTTGTTTCCATGATAACACCAGTAGTTTCTGTGAGAACAGAAGAGTGCATGTGCAGTACGGATGTGCAGTTCATAGCATACCAAGGGGCTTTAGGCAGCTCTCATTGGCACCACATGGCGTGACAGTAGCACAGTGCAAAGTGCACATATGTGTTCAGAACCAAGACGGCAGTGGTAGTTGAGTATAATGTGGGTAAACACTGCCAGAAATGGCTCACACTTGCTGCTTGTTTGATTTTGAATTCATTTTTGGTCATTGTTATTTTTAGAAGCCTTTTACTATGAACTGATTTTTTTGCTACACACAGTTTAAGAAGCTGGGCTTTAGAGGACCTTTGCTGTGAATTAGAGAAATAGGTAGCTATAGGAAGGAGGGCAACTATTGTGTGTTTTAAGACTAAAACATCATAGATTTGTATATTGGCTAGGGAAACGCAGGAGGGAAGATGAGTTGCTAGAATGATGCACCTTAGGGGAAGTAAGGGGAAGGTAAAGTCTCAGGGTGTTAGTTCACTTCTTAACACAAGGATAAGGTGCACATAGGACAGAGTGACAGGACGTAGGAGTTAGGAGGTCTGGGATGAGCCTGGCCTATAGCCGAGGGACTGAGGAACTCCCCCTGGGTCTCCACCACCTCATCACATGAGAAAAGTTACCACCTCCAGCCCCAGCAGGCTCTTCACAGCACTGGGAATGCTTGTCTGAAACTAAAGCTCAGGCCTGCAAACTCTGTGGGGTTAGGAAATGGAGCAGCTTGTGGAAAGAGGCCTGCCTTCCACATACTGATTGATGCCTGTGCTGTCTCCTCCCCAGCCCTGGCCATGGGTCTCTGTGTCGCCATGATCGCCTTTGTCCGCCTGCCTAGCCTCAAGGTGTCGTGCCTGCTTCTCTCGGGACTTCTCATCTATGATGTCTTCTGGGTGAGTGTCCACTTCCCGGAAGCCACGCCTTCCTTGTGTTTAATTGAAGCAGTCCCTGCTGAAAGCTGTCTACTCCTAAATAACTAAACCCTGGTTTGCCAACCATCTCAGATGACTCCCTCTACTCCTGAGCTGCATGTGTTCACCATGGGCAAACATCTGCCTGCACCTTTGGTTGGTGGAGCTATGATATAGTAGGTCATACTCAGTGGGAAAGACAACAGGCAGACAAGGATTCCTGCACAGGAGCTTCCTGTTCCACTGGAAGAGAGTGTCTGTGGGTATGGAAATACATCAGAAACCTTCAGGCATTCATGAAAATCAAAGATTCTCTTCCTCCTCAAAGCATGCAAAGAGTATTGACACCATGGTATTCTGAGCTGTTATGAAAGCAAAGGGCTGATGACTGAATGCCCATTGCTTGTAGCTTTTGTTAAAGGCATCTCTCCACCTTGGCAGGTATTTTTCTCAGCATACATCTTCAATAGCAATGTCATGGTGAAGGTGGCCACACAGCCAGCTGACAATCCCCTTGACGTTCTATCCCGGAAGCTCCACCTGGGACCCAATGTTGGGCGTGATGTTCCCCGCCTGTCTCTGCCTGGAAAATTGGTCTTCCCAAGGTAGGACTGACCTGTGGGTCCTCATCCCACAGTGGTGAACACACTGCCTTCCTGTGCCTGTCTTTCCTGACTTGGGCATCTGTCTTCTGTAATCACCATTCTGATTCTAAACTGAAAAGGACTGAGCTATGGGGCTGGAGAGATGGCTCAGCAGTTAAGAGCACTGGCTGCTCTTACAGAGGACCTGGGTTCAATTCCAGCACCCACATGGCAGCTAATAACTGTCCATAACTCCAGTACCAGGGGATCCGCTGCCCTTTTCTGAACTCCACAGGCATTGCACGACGTGGGTGCACTTACATACATGCAGGCAATACACTCATATACAAAAAAATTTTTTTAAATATTTAAAAGAACAGGACTGAGCCATCATCTCCAGATCCATACAGATGAGGATCTGAGAATAGCAACTTGTTAATTAGCACACACAATAATGGGTTTATTACATCTCACACGTGCGTATCATGCACTTTGCTCATATTTGTTCCCTTCCTCCAAGCTGTCCTGTTTCTGTTTTCATGTCATGTACATTATGTGTGTGTGTGTGTGTGTGTGTGTGTGTGTGTGTGTGTGTGTCTAGATTCCATCTATTTTTCTACAGGTGACATTTCATTTTTTTAATGGCTGAATAAAGCTCCATTATATGTGTGTGTGTGTGTGTGTGTGTGTGTGTGTGTGTGTGTGTACACATTGCCTTCATTCATCTGTTGATGAACATCTAGGCTGCCCATCTCCTGACTGTTGTGTCTTGTGCTGCAGTGAACCGTAGGTTTGCAAGTATCTGTGTAGTATGCTGACATATAGTCATTCAGGCATATACCCAGGTGGTGTGGCGGGATAACATGGTAATTCTACTTTTAGCTTTTTGATGGAGCTCCTTACTGGTTTTCATAGTAGCTGGGCTAATTTGCATTCCTACCAGCAGTGTATAAGATTCCTTTAGCTTGGCATATTCTCCAGAGTTTGTGTATTTTCTTAATAGTAGCCATTTTGACTATGATGAGATGGAATCACAATGTAGTTTTGATTTGTATTTCTTTGGACATTTTTTCACATATTTATTTGCCATTTGTACCTCTGAGAATTTTCTGTTCAATTCATTTGCCTATTCACTGATTGATAATTTGGTTTTTAATTTAATTTTTAGTTTATATATATTCTAGCTATTAACACACACACACACACATACACACACACCATATCTGGCAAAGATTTTCTAGCCTTCTGTAGGCTCTCTTCACTCTTGTTTCCTTGTTCTTACTGTTTTTAAGATTTATTTTTCTTGAGGCTGGAGAGATGGCTCAGTGATTAAGAACACTGGCTGTTCTTGGAGAAGACCCACCCAGGTTCGAATCCCAGTACCCATATGACGTCTAACAACCATCCATAACTCCAGTTCTAGGAGATCTGACTCCCTCTTCTGTCCTCCAAGGAGGGACATTGCACACCACAAGTGTACTTACATACAAGCAAGGCAAAAAGATTTCTATTTTATGTGTATGAGTGTTTTGCCTACGTGTATGTGAATCGTGTACATGGCTTAATGCCAACAGAGACCACAAGAGAACGTCAGATCCCCTGGAACTGGAGTTACAGGTAATTGGAAACCACCACATGGATGCTGGGAACCAAACCCAGGCCCTCTGCAAGAACAGCAAGTGCTCTTAACTGCTGATCCATCTCTCCAGCCCCTTTGGGAGTTTTTTATGGAGCTCCAGTTGTCAATTCTTGCTATTTCACGAACTGTTGGAGTCATTTTAATAAATTCCTGCTTATGCCTATATCTTGAAGTATTTTTCTCCTTGGCAGTTTCAGAGCTTTAGAACTTTAAGGTTTTTGATTCATTTTAAATTGGGTTTTGTGTAGGCGATGGATAGGACCCAAGTTTCCTTGTTCTACGTGTGGATATCCAGTTTTCCAAGACCCATTTGTAGAAGCTCTCTTTTCTCTAGTGTGTGCCTTTGGCACCTTTTTCAGAAATCGAATGCATGGGGGGGTTGGAGGTTTTATCTCAGTGGTAGAGTTCTTGCCCAGCATGGTTAAAGCCCTAAATTCAATTCCAAGAACCATAGCACCCCCAGACACAGTCAGGTGTGTAAGTTGTCTGTGAAGAATGTTAACTAGAATTTTGGTGGCGAGTGCACTGACCAATCACTTTCAGTAATAGTAATACAGCTGTTTTCATGATGTTAATGGACATGGAAGGTCTTTCCATTTTCTAAAGTTTGCATCATAGAGGTCTTTCACTGTCCTTGATTAAGTTAATTTCTAGGGTTTTATTTTGTTTCATTTTTGTTTGTGGTACTGGGGATGACCCAAAGCTTCATATATGCTATGTAAGCACTTTGGGAGGAGGGTATTGTGACTGGGATTCTTCTCCTGATTCCTTTCTCAACATACTCATTATTGGTATATAGAAAAGCTACTGCTAGGGACTGGAGAGATAGCTGCTCAGTGATTAAGAGAGCATTCTGTTAATCCCAGCAGTCGGGAGGCAGAGGTAGGTGGATCTCTAAGAGTTCAAGGCCAGCCTGGTCTACACAGTGAGTTCCAGGCCAGCTGGGGCTACAGGGAGACCCTGTCTCAAAAAGATAGAGAACAAAAAAAAAAGCATTCTGACCTGAGGTTCAGCTCCCAGCACCCATGTTGGGCAGCTCAAAACTGCCTGTAACTCTGCTCCAGGGTAGCCAGTGCCTCTGACTTCTGCCAGTACCTGCACTCGTGTGCACATACCCACATACAAACACACGATTAAAAATAAAGATAAATATTTTTATTGTTTTTTTTTGTTTTTTTTCTCTTGGTCTTTTGTAGAGACAGGGTCTATTGTAGCCCCAGCTGGCCTGGAACTTGCTATGATGACCAGGCTGGTCTTGATCTCAGAGATCACCTGCCTCTGCCTCCAGAGTGCTGGGATTATAGGTGTGTGCCACCACACTCGGCTATAATTATTTTAAAAACAAAAGAAAAACTGCTGGATAGGCATGGTGTCACATGCCTTTTTTATACAGCACCCAGGAAATCTCTGTGAGTTTGAGGCCAGCCTCCCTTAAAAAAGTGGGTAGGGGGAGGAAAGAAGGCAAGCTACTGTCAGATCTAAGAGTGTTTTGGTGGAGTCGTCAAGGTCTTATAAGCATGTTGTCTATAAATAGGAAATTTTTGACTTCTCCCTTTCCAGTTTTAATTTCCTTTATTACTGCTTGCCTTATTGCTCTAAGAATTCAAGCACTATATTGAAAAATAATAGAGTAAGATGCCCTTGTCTCAGTCCCAATTTTAGAGATGCTTTTAGTTTTCCCCATTAGTATAATGTTTATTGGTTTGTTGTCTGTAGCTTTTATTATGTTGAAGTATCTTCCTTCTGTTCCTCCTTTCTCCATGACTTTCATCTTGAAGTGATACTGCAATTGGGGGATGCCTTCCTGGCTAGACATGGTAGTATAACACCTCCAATCTCAGCAGTTAAAACAATCATGAGTTTAGAGCCTGGAGAGGTGGCTCAGCAGTTAAGAACACTGGCAGTTCTTGCAGAAGACCCGGGTTCAAATCCCAGCACCGACATGGCAACTAACAACTGTCTGTAACTTTAGTTCTAGATCCGATGGCCTTTTCTGTCCTACATGGGCATTGTACAACATGGGTACACTTACATACTTGCAGGCAATACATGCATACACATAAAAATAAAAATATTTTTTAAAAAAAGAATCATGGGGCTGGAGAGATGGCTCAGTGGTTAAAAATACTGACTGTTCTTGCAGAAGACCTGGGTTCGAATCCCAGCACCCACATGGCAGCCAACAACTGTCTGTAACTCCAGTTTCAGGGGATCCGACAACCTCTTCTGTCCTCTGCAGGCATTGCATGACACGGGTGCACTTACCTACATGCAGGCAATACATGCATACACATAAAATTTAAAAATAATAATAAATAAAATATTTTTTAAAAAATAAAGAAAAAAGAATCATGAGTTCAAAGCCAGCCTAGGCTACAAGAATCCTGATCTCAAAAACAAAACAAGTGAGGCATGATGGGACATACCTTTAATCTCAGCACACAGGTGGCAGAGGCAGGTAGATCTCTAAGTTCAAGGCCACTTGATCCACATACTAAGTTCCAGACTAGCCAGGGCTACACTATGAGACCCTGTCTCAAAAAAACACAAAACACAGCAGCCTTTTGTGCATCTGTTGAAATGATTATGCAGTTTCTGTCCCTAAGAATATGTATGTGTTGTATCGTGTTTATTGTTTGTCAAACGTTCTGCATCCCTGGAATAAAACCAATTCAGTCATGGTAGATGATCTTTAAATTTGTTTTCAAATTCAATTTGCAGGTATTTAATTGAGAAAGATCCTTTCATCAGGAAGTTGGTCTGTAGTTGTGTTGTCTTCCTGAAGTCCTCATCTGGTTTTGGCATGAGGGTGATGCTGGCTTAATATGAATTTGGTCATGTTCCCTCTTTTCTGTGTTAATTCTTAAAGTCTGGTAGTATGTGGCAGTGAGCCTGTCTGGCACTTCTCTTTGTAGATCTGCTCAAGTTGTTTATACCCTCGATTTAATTTTGGTAGGTCATGTGTGTAGGAATTTATCCATTTCAACTAGATTTTCCAGTTTTTTGGAAAGTAAGTTTTTAGTGGATTCCTTATTCATCTTTGGATTTCATTGGAATCCATTGTAATATCCAACATTTGCATCTCCAGTTTGATTAGTGTGGGTCTTCTGTTTTGGTTTGACATCCAGGTTTGTTGATCTTTTCAAAGGATCAACCCCTTGGGTCTCCATTGCATTCATTCATTTCTTTGCTCTTTGAGTTGAGCTTATTCTTTTTCTAAGACCTTGAGGTCTTAGTAATTTTATGATTTTTGTAGCTATGATTTTTTACATTAGAACTGTCTTTGCTGTATCCAACAATTGACATATTCTGAGACTCAAATGAAAACAACTTTTCTCTGATTTCTTCAATGACCTACTCATTCAAGCTCCATGTCTTTGTA